CCCCATGCACTATAATATGAACAAAGGAAAGATTGTTTTTACACCCCACTTCACATCACAAAGTGGGTCGATACATGAAAAACGTCATGTAAAATCGGATCAAGATATTTAAGCCCAAAATTCTCTAAAAGCACTTAGCAACAAGGGAAAAAAAATTAACAAAAAATAAGAGCAGATAGCGACCATCTGACCAAGGAATAAAAGAATGAAGATTAAATACTGACAGACCTTACAACCTGTCTCGAAATTCCAGCAACGTTGAAACATCATAAACATATGTTCATAATCCAAGAGACCTGTATTCATGCAACAGATAGATGCCTACAACGATCAAATACGAGCGTTCGGTACCAGTAAAACACTGCCTGTGCAAGCACGTCACAATCGTCTCTCGAGAAGGTCATTCTACTCTAAATACAACCCTACAGGAAATTCCGGCGTATGTGCCAGACCTATCCAACCTCCCCAGGCCAATCCCTCTCTTGTCAGGGTAGTTCATCCAAGTTCCGGCACCCTTGATTCCTCTGGGCAGGTGTGCACAGTCAATTACTGTTATTACAATTACATATCATTTAGAGATCCAACCCTCACGGTTATGCGCGCAAGACAGCACTAAACAATACCCCCACCTCAGTAAACGCCATGCGGGCGTGTCCAGCCGAGATTCCTACTTATCCTCAACTGGAACTTCTAGCGCTCTGAATTTACCTCATCGAGACGTAACCAGTCAACGAACTGAATTTTTTAGAATAAAAACCACCCACCAACATACCATCAATTTACCCTCAAGAGTACCCAATCCGTTTTCGACTTCGTTCCTTCTTTTTGGACTTGTGATCGAGCTTCAATGTACCACATTTATGATACAGTAGTTCCTGACGTCTTCTGTCTCAGATATCACCCCCCAAAAAAAAAAACCACCACAAAATAGCGCCAATCATCTTCCTGATGAAAGTGTGAGATAGCTGTGATCCCGAGTTCAAACTAATGACTACCTAACAAAGCAAAGAACTACATTTGTAGACCTCCTCGATGTACCCTTATATGCCTATGGTCGAGCATACCATCTTTGAATCATCGGCACCAAATGGCGATATGCCGTGTTTTGTGCTTCTTGCTCCCAATCTAGCCTCATTGGTCAAAGCCCCGTTAATTTCTGGGGTAGTCACTCTCCCTCTGCTCATTCTCTGGTCTCACCCTGTTGCGTAAGGCTTCCCGGCTGGCCCCACTCAAGTTCTTTTTTCTCGAAAAGCACAGCGCCACTGATCTCCAGTCAACCTCCTATTCAAACATAAACGACGACCTACCCATACCTAGTTTCGAAACCGTCAGGCCATTTAAGCCTACCTACAGCTTCGAGCTTGGAAACTACTACGATATCTCAGGGAGAATTGTCTGGCCCCTGTATCTACTACCCTACCACCTTCCCTACTTCATCTTGCACACCATACTCCCCGAAACACCTGAAGATCGTTTTCGAGACACACAAGGGCAACCACCGTAGCTTTCCTATTCAACATGTCAGTCTGCCGTCCCCAACTGACTTGGGACAAAAAAATAAGCCGAACACTCCTTGAGAATGCCTCTATTTTCCCCTTCTTTCTTCTTTTCCTCTTTTTTTGGCGCGGCGTCGTGCATGGGTAAAGGCGGGACGGTGGGGCGCGCGCGCGCATTTCTTAAAGTAATCCTCCAAACTTCTGGCGTGTCCGAGTTGAATACAGATACTCGGATGATTGGCGGAAGTAACCTCACAACCACGTGACACGAGGCCAATACTAGGCTCCTCTGACAGGGACACAACACACACACAACCACACACCACCCACAGCGAGACGAGCACCGCACGAGCAGATTTGTTAACGACTGTCAACATGTTGCGGTAAACACCACAGAAGCATACAGAGTCTGACTCTAGACCATCTCGCTTGTACTTCTGTTTACTTTTCTTTCATCCTAAAACTGTTTCTCACGTATGCGTCACCACTTCGCCATACCTATATTTCTCCATGGATCGATTCGAAACGTTACAGCGACGACGATAATAGCGCGGAGCGAGCGAAAGAACCATTACAGAATACGCATTCAGCAGATGTTTCTTACATATTGCTTGATACATAGTCGTGGAAAAGAGTGCCACAGATAACAAACAGATAACAACACATGTTGACAATCTATATACATGGACTGTCATCCTTTATGCGCGCATATACACACATTTTCTTAGATCTATATGAGGAGAGAGCGTGGAGAGAGATAGATATAATTATAATCACAATGGTCATTGGTTTTTGTTGATTTACATAGGTTCTTGGTGTACACACTGTATCAAAATTTCACGACTATTAGCATACATTTTCATATCGAACTAGTTTCTGAAACTTACGAACATGGAATTTATTGCAATCTACCAATACGCATCTGGAAATTTGCAAAAACGTTTGGACCAACAGAATACATGGGCAATCTGTATTTGACATATATAAAATCAGCGTTGATGTCTATCACCTTTGTCAATAATAAAAAATTTAAACAGAGTTCCAGAGATAATTTAGATCAATTACAATACATGAGCTAGCCATTCCAACTCTTAAGCTGCTACCGCCGCAACTTTATACTAAGTGTTTATATAGCAATACCTCAGAAAAATCAGATGAGCATTTGCCTCCTGCACTCAGGCTGAAGACAAACAACAGATTTCAATACAGCATGAAGTTTCTCTAGAGAAAAGGAAGTGATAGCAAAACCTTCTAATCGTGTAACCCTTAAAACCCACTGCAGCTCTATGGATACGAACCAAACCAGAGCAAAGAACCTACCATTAACCATTTTACGAGCATAAACTACGCCTGTATGTATACAAACTAAACATCAGAAGAAATAATATTTTCCTAAGCAAGATACGACCCCATGAAGTCAAAAGACACAGTTTCTTAAATACGGTTACCCCTCTATGTTCATAAACCTCGCCAACATTACGCCATAATGTGTTCGCATACCAAACAAAGCTGGCATCTTCATCCTCAAGAATTCCCCTCCCGGCTGCCCAATCAGCATCAGCCAACGACTGGCGTTCAGTCCGCGTATGCTTCTCACTTGCGAGTGGCCACATGCTGTCCTTTCATGAAGCTCCATGTTTGTTAGTATCTCACCAGACATCATTCGACGACAGCAAAAGTCTCCTTAGGAAAGCCCATCAAGGAGAAACACGCAACCCCCCATGCCCTTTCTTTCCACGCAGCTATCAGCAAAAACACCTAAAAAACGACAGGGAGGGATCTACTGATTTTATAAATACCGACAGGTGCACCAAAACGTCCTAACAACCCTTGATGATCCCCGAATGACAATTCATGGCGCACCTGCGAAGTGGGAGTGTGGTGAGCGTATGGTCTCTGTGCAACAGCTCTTATCCCGAAAGCAAGATTCAAAGGTATACGTTTCATTGTTAGTGAGCAACTTTATATTGCACATGGACTTTAAGACACCCAACCAACCTTCATAAATACACAATTAGGGGGGGGGCTGAACTTTCATTTACTCTAAACTGACCTCTAACCCTCGATGCACGCAACCGAATTTCAGGCATATCCTATAACTGCTACCACAGGGACAAAAAAATTAACACTTCTTGTCACCAATTAGTGCACTATATACATTTATATCAGGCTTGGCTCCGATTTTTTATTCTCTCAACGGACAGATTTTGGCAAAAGTAAGGGATGTTTTGTGTGCGCCTATCACTGTACGGGCCAATAAACACAGCAGTACCAAAAAACGCCTCTTTAAGCAATCGCCTTCAGATGATGTTAAGCATACTCCCCAACCTGTTTCCTCCCTTGCAGCAAGGCGCAATGGTATTGACGGCCTATCGCAATCCCATAGCCTTACTGCCGGCATTTCATACCAACTTCGAGCCCGGGAGCGGTGGCAAATACTACAGATGTTTACATGTAAATAACCATCTTATGTCGGTGTATGGAAACATTTGGAATCTCATTCTGAACGCCTCAGCCTCCATCCACCATATTACCCAGCCGGGATTCTATGCTCTCCTCGACCATACTGTTGTAACTGTCCTGGGTTGTAGCCAGTCGCTTATATTACATCATCCAAGCCATCAATTTGTTGCTGCTGAACCACCACTCAAACTGTTTGAATTAGTACTAGCTGGCTCTGGAACTGACCGTTTTAATTTCTTCTTGCTCTGACCATTTCCATTTCTCTCACCAACTCTCGGCTTTAAGCGAAGATTGTCTTCCCGTTTAGGAGCTATCTTCTGTTCTGGGACCATCCCAAGCTGCTCCCATTTGTTTCCTCCCTCAGGTTTAGAACCCAATTCCAGCGCACACTCGCACATTTCTGTCAGAAGACTCATAAACGATAAGTCTGGCTTAATTCTCTTGGCCAAAGCAAGTCGTCGACCCTCCACCAGTTTACATACTTCCTCTATGCTTGGCATGCAGAATGTTTTGCCATCGAAAACAGCAGACCTACAGTTTAATGAAATATTCACTTCTCCCTTTGCTGAGCAAGCTATTTGGACATCTCTAAAAGACTCTTCTCGAACACCTACAATCCCAGAGGATCCCCGAGCAATTTGGACATCTCTAAAAGACTCTTCTCGAACACCTACAGGATTTTCTTTTCTAGGTGTCTTCCTCCTATTGCTCACATCATTCTCCAACTAGTAAAAAGAAATGTTTGCTTAACAATTAGCAGCATGTCTAATATGCAATGCTGAAGAGAGAGTTGGGTTTTTTTTTACCTCATTTTTTCTGTTATGGTCTTCCTCAACAATTGCTTTTCTGCATCCCTTTCCATTTCTCTCACCATAGTCCAACTGCTAAAAAAGGTTCAAATAACAAACAGTTAGTAACATGTCTAACATTATACAATGAAGAAGAGAGTCAGATTTCATGTTTCTTACATTATTTTCTCTATTACAGCCAACTTCAAAAAATTCTTTTCCAGGTCTCTTCATAGTGTTCATACAACTGTCCAACTAGAAAAAAAAACCATGTTTAAATAACACTTATAAGCCCTTGTAACATTATGCACTAAAAATAGATTGTCACATTTGTTGTTCTTTTACATCATTGCTAGCATTGCAGACATCTTCAACTTCATCATCTCTCTTACTCTCCACTTCCTCACCCTGAAAAAGAATTACAATGTCAGCAACAACCAAAAAAGGAATCAAAATATTAAGTAAATGGGTTTTTTATTTTAAATTCATTCTTTTTACCCTGAATTATTTTTAAATGCTCCCACTCCCAAAATCATTCATACACCCAGAACACCCAATCTGGTTTACTTGATTTGATATTTGTACCCCTTTATTGTAGCACTTCAAACTAACATTAGAGTAGTTTGGATCAAATTGTAGTAGTTTACCATACTTCATGGTTAGAGAATATATATAGGGTTAGGTTCTAATAAAAACCTAGAAAACTAAAAACCAATCCTAACCCTCCAATCTATAACATCCAATGGTCAAAATTGAACAAAAAATATTATACTCTAATTAAACCGCACAATTTGGGACCCTTTCGGGCGAGACATCTGTAAGATCTGAAATAAATCTTGTAGGGTTTGAACCTGTGTTTAATCTGAGTACACCGCGAATTCCTGATACGCAAAAACTCGGCGAAGTTGTGGTGAGGGTTGAGGTTATAGAATTGTAGGGTGAGGTCTAATAAAGAACCTAGCTTAGTCTAAAACTAAAACCAATCGCTTACGCTCCAATACTAATAATCATCCAATGGTCAAATTGAACAAAAAGCCCACTAGAGAGAATAAGCAATAAATGCATGTGCTGAAATAAAATGCATGGCGT